CCCCAAAACCCCAAAACCCCAAAACCCCGATGTGTTAGATTTATATTAAGATCAGGAATATTGAATAATAAAAGAGAAAAATACTGTAAGACACATCCTCAATAAATGATTGAAATCAATAATTAATAATTCTTATTTACATAAATGAATAGTATAGAATCATCTGCACTTAAATAAGATATTAAAAAAGACTTAGGCTCTCCTCTACTTAAGTAAACGAATCTGCTTTATTAGCATCAAATAACTTATTTTTAGACTTGAATCTGGCAGTAGAAATTCTAATCTCTAAGCTAGCCCTTAGTTTAAAGCAATCAGTTAGGACAACGCCAATGTTATTCAGAAAAATAGCCAGGGATCAATTTTTTCGAAGATCAAAACAAATAATAGCAGAAGAGTAAATCTCAATTAATAAATTGAAGATTTAAATAACTACCCGGCAGCAACAGAATATTAAATTTAAGTCTAAGTATAACAAAAACAAAGTGAATCGAATCCTCTCTAGATCCCATAATAAAACACAATCAACAACGCCAATAATAATTAAAAAAGAAGAGGCAAGTTTTCAACATTTGCAAATATTCAGGAAAAGCTAAAAGCTATAGAAGCTGAGTATAAAAATAAGCAAGCAGTACAAAAGCAACAACTACAGCAAGATCAAGGAATCCTAGAACTACCTAAAGTAAAAGTGGTGGACGGAGACTTAAAAAAGTATGAGGGTAAAATATATGAGGATGCTGACACTGGAGTGATAAAGATTGAGTAAAGAACAGGCTAAATAAACCTAGATGATCTCAATATTTAGAGGAAGGAACAGGGATTCATGGACAAAATAAAAGAGAAAAAAGAAGTAAACAGCAATCATCTCTAACTACCTTAGATTAAAAACGGAAGTCTTGAATCGTCCATTCTGAAGTCAGATCACTCATCTGTATTATCCCCCTCTTAAAGAAATATAAGTTCACCTTATGAGAACACTCACAGGTCAGTTATACTGAGGGAGCCAGCAAAACCAGCTATTCAATATAACTTAGCAAATAGTGCTCACAAAGGATCATAAATAACTCTTAGCAATAAAATATAAATTGCCTCACAGACTCTAAATAAAAATGAGAGTGTCTAAGAGAGACAAGAGAATAAACTCTAAGTACAGAAAAAACTTGAAAAACTAAAGTCGAAACTGACAGCTGCTGGCAACACTGATAGAGATAATGTTGACTTACTATTTCTTGAGAAAAACAACCTTCTTTATCAATCACTTAACTACAAGTAAAGTGAGGAGCCGAGCTAACTTATAACAGAAGAAGACTCTGATTCCGATTAAGAGGAAATTTTGTCACCAAATAAAGTACGAAGGATAAAACTGCTGGAGTCAATTCATGAAAACCCAACAATAAATGAAATCCTAAATGCTTAAAGCTAGAAAAAGAACCCAGCCATTAACAGGTATAAATCTCATGACAAACTGTAGCCATTACCAGCCAAGGTAAAAAATAACAAGCTAACTGCAGCTGATTTCGCTGACTAGCTTGACAGTCTAGAGAGTAATTTTGAAATGTCTATTTAAAATACTCCAAGTGACCCATCTACAATGTAAATCTTGGCTAATTTAAATAATAACATCAACAATACATCGACCTTTACTAGTACTATGAATAATTCCATGATTGGAAGTAACAGCACAAGCAAACTTCTTCCTAGCATTCAAAGTTAAAAGATAGATCAGCTATTTAATTACAGAAATAATGTTATATAAAACAGCAAAGATAAGCCAAAGCAAGGTGCTAATGTAAGTGGTATAACTGGACAAAGAAAAAGTTTATTTCTGCAATAAACTAATTTAGTCCTCAATAGCATGAGTATGAATACTATCAAGAGAGCTAAATTTCAAGTCCATAAATTATATCTCTTGCAAAAAGGAGGCAAAACTTTGAGCTTTGACCTTGTAAATGATGAAGTAAGAATATTCAATGTGAAAAAGTATGCAGAGTCTATAAAATAACCTAGTACAATAATTGAAAATAATGGTATATTGGTTATGACTGGTGGTATAAACACTGAATCTGCTAAAGTTTCTCATTAAGCTCATATGATTGACACTTAAAATGAAAGAGTGATAGAGATGGCAGATATGCTAGAGCCTAAATACAAACATAAAACTATTTACTGCAACAACAAAATTTTTGCCTTGGGCGGTTATATAAACATCTCTCAATCATCAAAATCATAGACGATTCAAAGATACGATGTTGATCTGAATAAATGGTTTGTTTGCAATCCAATGAAATTCGGCCATGCAGGTGAATAGTTTTATGTTATTGCCAATAATATTTCTCATTACTTATATGTGTTTGGAGGTTGTGACAATCCTGATAATTCGAAGACCATTGAGAAGTATGATAGCATCCTCGACGTTTGGATATCATTGAATATAAAACTACCATCAAAATTTTTAAACAGACCAAATTAGATCTTTTATCTTTCATCCCCTAGTGATGCTCTACATCAAATAATATTTGGATAATAAGATAGTGACGACAGAAGTGATAAAATTATTCATATTGACTAGGATAAAACAGCTAAGCAGTTCTTGATCAATTCCCTACATCTTGCTAAAGCCAAATTCTTGACTAACTTTAAACTAGAAGATCTAAACTCATAATAAAACATTTGGAATGCCAGAATCTAAGGGGAGTGTCTCTTTGTGCTTAGAGAGGGTATAGATCTAGCAATGGAAAGATTCGATCTTACAAAAAATGTGGGTCATCTTTCGAAGCTCAAATTTAATTAAAAAGAAGATTTAAAGGCTAGAGTTCTAGGATCTGATGACTCAACCAAATTTTTAAGTCCAGTTAGAAATAGCCACGACAACTTATTCAAAAACATGAATTCTCCAGCAAAAAGCTAATCTCCCAAAGACTCATTTAACTAGGATAGCTAAAACATTAGTAGTGCTACTACTCTGCCTTCAATCAATAACATTTTTAAATTTGGCAATAACAACAGCTCTACTTTTGGACTTTTTAACGTTAAAAATAAATTAAAAGAAAAGCAACAAATAAGAGAAGATTAATTATGAAGAAGCCAAAACGGCTAGGATTTTATTATCATCACCTTATATAATTATCAGTAGTATCCATTTAAAGATCATCTATTTATTATGCTATTAAAAGTATCTCTAATAAGTTATTCGAATTTCTTGTTCACGGGGTTTTGGGGTTTTGGGGTTTTGGGG